CTTTACAAGCTGAAACTTGTATTCTAATCTAGCCATGTACTCCTGTGGCACTTACTGATCTATTCGCTCAGGCAGATTTTTTTCTAAAATAAAAACACAAGTATTTTCTTAGTTTATCCCTAGCTTCACAATGACATTAGCTGACACATCTAGTGATCAGCTCAAAAGACAGGGGAATGAAAAGCCACTCCTTGCTACAAAGACATCTGGTATGTAATTACTGCACAATAATATCTTGACAAATCCATCCAGTGCTGCCATTTCAGAGATAGCTCCAATCGTAGGTAACCTCTGTGTTTGACAAAAACAAATAACCAGAGGTTTGTTGTATGGGGCATCTGTGTGCTGTGTCTCTTAGCTAGTAATTTAAGGAATCTTTCTTTGTCTCTTGTTTTCACAAATGTGCTAGGATAACCCACTTCGAAAGCCTGTCCGTAATGCTCCAGATGGTCTGTTGCTTTCATGCATGGAGAAGATAGAGAGGACATTAAATGGTAATGAACTGTTGGATAACTCAAAGTACTTTTTTTTAAAATATTGTGTGGAATCTACCAATCCTTCTCACTGTTGTTTTTCACAAAGAGGTCAAATGTGCAAACACAGAGGTGGATAAGAGACAAGAGACTTGTGACTCGTCTTTGGGCTAAGCCTTCAGGCTATAGCTATTCTTAAAGCCTGAGAATAGTTTCTACACAGTATAGCACTTATTAATCATAATAGTTGTCATTAATAATAAGTCATTCAAGAGGTACTATTTTCTTATTAACTAAATCATATCCTTTAAAGCAAGAAAATACTGGTTCTACTTCTTGACCATTGCAGTCTTTGTCTGGTTTTTGCAGCTAAATCCATGTTTTCTGTGATGAACGTGTTGGAACTTTTATCCAGACAAAAAGGGTAAGTTTGTTTATGAATAAATGCAAATGAGCAAGTATGGCCTCAAGTCCAGAGAGGAATACCATCTGGATGGCTTGTCAACAATGTTATTTTTTAGCTCAGTGTTCTAATGCATTGTATTTGCCTATTTTGATTAGCCCTTTGTGGAGAAGGTTTTTGGATAAAGAGAGGGTATAAATGCCTACATCCTAAAGCTACAGACCGAGGTTAATAGTTTTGAGCTAACATGATAATGTAAAGAGCAGAGCACAAATACATGCCTGGTTGGATAATTTTCAGAAGCTGAGCCAAGGAAGAGTTATTTTTGAAGCATCCCTGGTGTCTCTTCCCATGACCAAGGGAACTATACTCATTTTCTTTTTTAAGTGACAGAATTTTTATGTATACAAGCTTTTTTTTTTCTTTTTCTCAGACTTACTGTTCATGTTAGCCCCAGTGGGACCACTTGCTACATAACATCAATGATGTTTTATGTAGAAATTCAGCTGGAGAAGGATGGAGATGTGATAGATGTAAAGTTGGCTCACTTTGAAGAAGCTCCTGTGGTAAAATTAATTTTCTCTGTCTCTCATGACCCTGTACTCTCCCACCTGGCTTCCAGCTGTCATGTCAGAAAGGTTTTGACTTCCTTTTGGTCTTGTCACATATGCAAGTCTATTTGTGACACTAGCTACCTCTTTAGGCATCTGAACCTCTCACCTAAATGTATAACTAAATACTCTAGTGCAAAGTATTACAGTAAAAGTCAACTGACAGACTCACCTTCCAAGAATTTTGTGGTATCACGCATAAATATTTTTATTTTCATGCTTCAATGTTACCAGTACACAGTAAATAACGGGGGCTTAAAATATTTTCCTCCCAAGGTGTAGTGCAATACATATACTCAGTGGATGTCTTGGAGCTATTCTGTTTTTTATTCTGCCTTTTTTAGGAGTATATATATTTCTACTAGTAGGGATGTTTTTCTGGCAAAATTTCTATTAAATTATTCACAGAATATCACCCTGAAGTTCACCTATCATGTTCTGCAGTTGATTCTGCAGTTGTAATTCTGCAGAATTACAGACAACCCTTCAGGTCAAAGATATAACAACAAGCTGTTGTGGGGGGGCGGGTTGGGGAATGTAAACTCTGGCTTTTGTCACTAAGTATCCAGATTATTACATTATTACTGTTATTACATTGGAGTTAATTTTGTCCATTATTTTTAGTTGAAGTCAGCCCTGGAATTTCAAATTGTTCATTTAACAGCACAGGTCTGTTGATCAGTGAGTGCTGGACAATATCACTAGAATGAAAATGCATATTCAGAGAATTTTAGCACAATCAATAAAAGAAAAACTGGTCAAGATGCAATTTTCTTCCTGAAAGAGTGTATCAGCAAACTATTTCTGTTAATTTTATTCTCTTTCACAGAGCCTTTTTCTTCCAATTATTATAATAATATTTTTTTAGCTATTGCTCTGTTATCTTGGTTTTGAATGTTGGGGATGTTTGTTTTTTTTTTTTTTTATGCTAACCATACAGCTACTTAAAAGTAATGGGGATCAAGCTTATAATTACTAATGAAGTGCTTATAGAAGATTTATCACAAATGGCAAGAAAGATGAAACTCCTGTCTCTTATTCCTGTAGGTTTGTGATGATTTGGTCCAGCTTCTAAGGTAAAGAATCACATATAGGGTTTTGTTCAATGGAAAGGAATTCCTCATGCTAGAACCATTCCAGTGTAGAAACTGAAGAGGGGAAAAAAAAAGAAAAAGGAAAGAGGATCAGGAAACAATAATATGAATCCAGAAAACAATAGAAGTGACACCATTTTGGATTCCATTTCTTGTGGGAAGTTGGTTCCAATCCTCCATATTGGAAGTTGGTTGTCATTGTAACTATTATTATCTGCTTCGAATTTGTAAATTCAAGGCTAAAACTGAAGCAAATATAATTTTGTAAAGGTACTCCAGGCATTATTTATTTCTCAAGTCATTCAATCGAATGCATCTGCTTCAATGGAGCAAGGGTAAAGAGTAATCCCCAATATGTTGGCTCTAGCTGCCAGTCAAACACAGCCTTGGAATACTGGCCTTTGTCTTGATTGCAAGAATTATAGAACTACTTGGACCCATAGTTTTGGTAATGGACTGATGGTGACAATTCAGAACTGGCAGATTTACACATACAACCTAGGTATTACTTTTCCTCTCCTCCTTCCATCAAATACTAAATAGCCTTTGTATTGTCCTTATGCAAATACTTTAACTGCCTTTCCTCCAGGATTCTCTCACAGTAATGAAAGCAAGGTGGTATCATGTGGCCTGAGTTTCTTTGCAAATGCATAGGGGGAGATGTGACCCTAATTTTCTCAGGTAGCAGTAGGGCACTACATATATATATATTTATTATTACCACATTTTATTCTGTCTGAATAGTTGCTGCTCCAGGTCAGGCCACCACTTTAAATCTATTTACAAGTTCTTCAATGAATATGATCAAGGTTACAGATAATAATAATAATAATAATAATAATAATAGTAGTAGTATATTTAGGAAATTGGATTCTTAAATACTGTGGCCAAATAGTAGATAGAGAAGGTAAAAAGAGAATGAATAATCATTGACCTTTAGTGTTTAATCTCTCTTTTGTATTATTCATCATCAGTTTTTTCAGCCCTCTTTTTCCTCAGAAATTAAGTTATATTAGCTTTATGGGTGTAAACAGCTATGACTTAAAACTTGAACTTGCATTTTCCTAGATTTTTGACTTCCAGTGATGTTAATGCCAGCAGTTTGGCTCTGAGCACTGGCATACAGTTACCATTGGTACTGTGGGTGCTACTTTTCTGCCTTCCTGGTTTTGTTAAGATTTGTCGCAAAGCACAGGTATCCCTTCTACACCTCTTGGTGTAGTATTTTATTTGGTTGTAAGGCAGTTTGTTATATGTGTAATGTTTCCCATGAGTCTCAAAGTAACTATAAAATTAAGATGAACCAGCCAGGTAATGCACAGTCTAGTGTTACATGTTCCTGTACCATGCATGCCTGCTTCCCTCCTTTTTCCCTGCTTCCCCACTAGTCTAGCTGGAAAGAGACAGAGGAGATCTGAGTGACTTGTTTAGGTTCCAGGTTTGAAAGAGTTTGTCCCAGTGTAAAAGTTCAGGCAGGCTTATTTTGTCTCTGCTGATCCACACTATAGCCACATCTGCATAGGAAAGGAAGGAAAGTCTTGAGCTGTCTTTGTGACTGCTGCACCAGAGTCTAGTAAGGCTTGTAAAATTCATGTAAAATCTACTTAAGCACAGGAGTAAAGCACTTAAGCACAGGTGGGTTAGTCTGAACACTGCTCCGCGCTGCCACACCAACTCAAAATTGTTATAAATAAGAAGCTTGACTAGGCCAATATTCAAGCAACAATCAATTTATTAATTAATATGGTAAAGTATGAGCAAAACAGCGCTGGGTACAGTGGGGGAGGTTTTCCCTCCAACTGCACAACGATGGTTGAGGCTTACAGGTATTTATAGGGGTACACACAGCTTTCTCAGCAGTTTCGATTCCCGGCAGTTTCTATTCCCAATTTTTACGTCACAATTCTATATACTATTGTGAGTTAGTTTTCCTCAGGATGTACCCCAGGAAGGAGTATCCCCAGATGGTGGGGTTCGACTTCCCAAAGAAGAAAGAGGTCTTCCAGCTGGTGTGGTCCAGACTCCCAATGTGTGTCCATCTTTTACTTGCAAAGACTATAAATCTCATGATGGTGATGTCCAGCTTCCCTTGGTGAAGCTATCAATCCTTGAGTTGATGTTCAACTTCCTTTCTCAAGCTGCTTTTCACTGTTTTGCTAAGGTGTTGAGATAAGCATATTTCCTTTACATACATTCTAAACCTATATTTTTAAAGCTCCTTATTACAAGCAATATTCTAAAAAAAAACCCGGCTATTATTGCAAAGCTGTTTAAATGCTTAGCTACCTGCAGAAAGTTCCTGTCCAGCAGCAACATAATTAAAACTTTAATTCAGATGCTATTTGCAAACACAGGATAATTTCCAAGGCCTTTTTCCATGCTTTACTCCCGCAGTTATTTTTTAGAATTCATCTTTTAATTGTCCCCTGATCAGTTTCCACACAAATCACAATCACAAGTACACACACTACCTGTATGTACCTGACACGAAACACAACTTTGTATCTCACAAAATCCACAGAAATTCTGGGGTTTGAGCAGTCATTCATTTACAAACCAAGCCACTTGTCCCATTTTTTTCTTTTTTTTTTTTTTTTTTTCTTTTTTTTTAATTGATGTATCTATCAGTTATATTTAAGGTCTGTCTCTCTCACATGGTGCTATGAAGTGCGGGATTAATACAATTTTGATATTTTAATGAAACTATCAATGTATGCATGCAAGGTCTTAGGGAAGTAGTACTACATGACTAGCTTTATTGGAACATCAGGAAAAGTGTTTTGCAGCTGATGAGCTGTCATATTTGCGTTTGATGTACAATTATTGCTTTCAGTAGTGCCTACTTCAGTGCCAGTTTCAGCTGTAATTACAGTGCTTCTTGCAACAAAACCAAAGGTTCACATTTTCTGGTATCTTCTAAGAAAATTTAAATCAGTACTGCTACTTGATCTGATAAGGAGGGGCCCACTGTCACTTTGAAATGGTGCCTTTTCTATCAAGTTATGTATAAAAGAGTTATTTTCTATCTCATTTAGTAGTGTGATAGTCATTATTTCTTTTTGTTAGAATGAAGAACTATGATGCCTTTGGCAAGATTCTAGAAGACCTGTCAAATATGTATCAAATTCCAGGAAACAGGTTGTAGTTATTTTTTACTCAAAAACTTTTGAAATCCATAGCCTAACTTTTGTTTACTTACAAAAATTATAAATTGTTTTTTCTCTCTCCCAGCGAAATGAAAGCTAAGGGATATCTTGCTTTGCAGGCCCTTGAAAAAGACCTTTATTCAATGTCTCTTCTTGACAGGTAACCTACAGTCTATGCCTTTGTCCCTTTACCTCTACCCACACCCTTTCATTTCACTAAAAAAACAAGTTAACTGATCTAATTATAGAGCAGGATGTGGAAGGCTAATGAGTTTTCTCCCACTGGGAAGCCTGAAGCCTTTGTCAATGACAGACAAGCAAACCAGTCTATCTACTGAACTCCTGTGCTTTATCTAAGGGACTTCCTGGGAAACTGGTTGGTTACAAAGCTTGGGGGTGTGTGCACATGACCACCCACTGGGAGTAAACAGTGTGTCTGAAAGTCAGCAGTTATGTTTACATCTCCCTGTGGCAGAAGTAAAATAGACCTCTTGGGATTCTGCTGTCTGGGTATCTCATTTTGTCCTCAGGTTTTAGATCAGGAGGAGTGTATGCCAGCTTTTCTCCTCCCTTTTCTCATTTGTCCTTTCATAGAGTAGGATTACAGACAGATGGGGAACAGTTTCCTAAACCTTCTGGTAATTGTATAAGGATTTTCATTATTTTCAATAAATAAGAGTTGAGGGCAGTGCTTTCCTTCTGGATTTTTGAAGTATCTTCTCTGATACCTTGCCTATTAAGTTACATACACACATACCTTGGCAGATAAGGCCTCCTGTAACTTGAAACACCCTCTTGGATTATTTTTGCAGTTTTCCCTTATGAAGCATAATAACACTATGAACTAATGTGCTGTATCCTTGCTGTTCAATGATATCTCAGTTAATATTATTTATAAATTAAACAGATTATTTGTCCTGTCTATGCTGTAAGTCAATGCACTGCAGAGTTAGTGCACAGCTATGTAAATGTATAGCTGTATGTATGCAGCTATATGAACACACTTGAAATCAGAAAGTGGTTCTGTCCAAGTTAGTTTATCCAGGCTATTTCTTCATTCTTTGCTCAACCAGTTTCCACTCTAATATTTTTGACCCCCTTAATTTCTGGTAAATAGCACACCAAAGTGCAACATGAAAGAGCTCAGATACAGGGAAAGTGGAAGCCCAAATCCCAGAAGTAATGCATGTGTGGAGTTGTGGTCTTTTGGAAGCTGGACATACAATCTACTTCCAAGAAAACATTGTCTTCTTTTGATTAAGGATACAAATTAGAAATTACATTAGTTTAGCTAGCAGTGCAATGCAGGAAACACTAATTAAGATGTGTTTTGAAATAGAACACAGGATCTAAACAGAGTTACTGAAGTACTTAATGGAAAAGTAGGACACCTGGTGCCAAGAACTGGAGGTGATTTTTTTCCTTTTTTTCTCCCTTCCCCCCCCCCCACCTTTTTCTTTTTCTCCCCTTTTTTTTCTTTTCCCATTTCTGAATTCAAAGAATTGTAATGAAAACACACTACTGAGTTCATCTTTGTGTACAGGAAAGATCCTCTACTATAAATAAAACCTGCTGTAGTGACTTACTGTGCCTGTATTCTCAGATAACGTACATATATACAGAACATATATTAAACAGATATTGTAAGTGGAGATGTACTCTTACAAGGAATCCCCTCTGCCTATCTACAGTGTTGGTTTTTTCACCTTTGTGTCAAGGCACCCATCGTATTTCCTCTACTAACTTGTATAGTAACCATTATTTTTTTATTCCTCAGGAACCCCAATGAACATTGAATTTTACATTTCTCCCTATCAAGTTTTGGAAGCAGAACTAAATAATGGTAAAGCTATTTCAGTTATTCTGCTGTTTCAGCAGAAATAGATAATAAGAGTTTTTCAATACTACCTGTTTCATTTAGCAAAGTTAACTAATGAAAGCTCAGAACTAAAATTTAAAATTCTAGTTTAGTAGAATAGTTTATGTGATGCATTTTAGCACAGTTTTAATGTCCATCAGGAAACTATGTTCCATGTCTTGGTTGTTGATTCAGCTGTTGCTGCTATCATCTTTGGGCAACTTTGGCCTTTTGGCTGTGGTCAGTGTAGGCTTCTCTTCACTGCCCACACCACTGTGGCTGTCAGTTGGACATGACCTTCCAAGTCCTTACTATTGTATATTTTGTATGCATAGGATTAATATACACTAAATTAAGGAAAATAATGCTATTCTCTTTCTCCCTCAGGTTTCCAGGTATGTGGAACTAAAACAGTTGTAACTGTTGAAGGCACAGATACACTCCACAAACTGCCTCTTTCTCCATTAATTATAGATCCTCAAGCTGGAGAGGACAGGTGAGGCTCTGGACACTTGTGTCAATACAGAAATGGACTTACAAGTCCCTGGCACTGACTTCCACATAACTTACATTTAGCCTCTGCTGAAACAAGAAGTTCTGTATCATTTATGGCTTTATGCTCCATAGCTACACTGTCTATAATCTGTGGCTTTTACAGTTTTCCCAAATGGACTTTGAAATTATTATCTTCATATTTAACTGTGTCAGTTGCATTGAACTATGAATTTATTCATAGATTTGAAGCCAGAAAGAGACACTGGAGCAATATTAATGAACTTCCTAGTATTCAACAAGATATAGATTCGCAGTAAAGAAAGCATATACTGAAAGATATTACACCTAAAATACACAAAATAGTTTGTCATCCCACTGTGGGTACTGACACCTCATCTCTCTCTACCTCAGTGTTGTCTGGAGGGGAAGTTTGAAGTAACTTTCCAAACTAAAATACTTTAAAATTATTTGTAAAAAACACCACCCAGTTTCTGTGTCTCACTTTTCCTTTCTGTCGATTTTCACATTAACCATGGTTTAAACTATTAACGTTGCATTTATAAAGCAAAACACTTTGCAAGTCAGAAAATGTATGGAACATAATAAACTGCTAATAGTGGCATTGCATTAGGAGTCCTTGTTATGGCAATTTCTGTAACAAAACTTTCATTCTGACAATTTTTTTCCTAGCAACCCTGCTTTTTTGCAACTGACTGATGAACTAAGCATGGATTTGCCAGCTCATTTTGTTCTGAAGTTTCAGCCTATTCCAGTGTCTTCATCCAGTATTGAAGAGATACAGAAGCTCACAGGCATGTTATAATTGTTTTTTAAGATGAAGTACTTCTGTGACTATGCAATACTTATTTGCTTTTTGATTCCCCATGTTAAAGTTGCAAGAAGTTGCTTCTTGGGCAGAACATATTCTGTTCTACCAGTCCAAGTGTAACAATCAGTGCAAAACACAAAAATTCTAAAGCTATGACAAGTACAGGCAAAGTTAAACACTCTACCTCAATTTTCCAATAGCGAAACAGGGGAATAAGAAATAAAATCAATCTTTTTGTCTTTTCAAAACATTGGGTTTGTTTTTAATAATAGCTTTCATAACCTACTGTCTTAACCTAATTGCTAATAAAAATAATGACCTGGTTTCAGGAATTCAGATTTCTGGCTTGAAACTAGCTCCACTGTATGAGCTAATTGTTCAGTCTACTCTTAAAGAAAAACGCAGTGAAGACTTGTCTACAAATAAGTCTTGTTTCTTTGTGGTAAGTATAGTGTGCATCTGATACACACTGTGCTGTTGCACAGGAGATAGATATACTGAATTACCATTTCCCCATAAGCAAGTAATGTAGGTTTCCCAGAATCCCAACAAAAGGGCTCTTTAGGAAATAGTTCAATTTAAAAATCAGTATTAGAGCCTTTCATGTAGGTGAGCATCTCATGCTCATTAATAAAACACTATGTGCTTGGTTGCTAAAGTCACGCTAATTTGTCTGTAACCCAAATATTTACTCTTCTAAAAAGTGCTCAGAAGTTTATCATTAATGCCTTAAAAAGAAGAAAACTTACTGACTGGTATGAGGAGCAAGTCCCAGGAAGGTACTTACCTAGATTTTTGAAGATCTTTATCATGCTGCATGTCACACTGTTTTAACAAAAGGGGCTTCTTAATTAGGTAACAGTGGGACTATTGATTCCTTTTAAAGGGACTGGCAGGAAGAAAAATATAAAGTGTTACAACAGTGATGCCAACTGCTATCTAGAGACAAGGATGTTTAACTGAAGAAGGCTTTCTTTTTAATAACTGCATTATTGAAATACAGTTGCTTAGGCTGCATTAGATGTTAAGTTTTAGAACAAAAAGTTGTGGTTAAGATGCTTTCTGCCAGATTTATGTACAGAGCAACTACAAGACAAGCTTCAAAGATCTAATTTTTTTGCTAGGAAACATTAATTTTGCAATTAATGGCAGCAAAACATGAGGGTACTTTTTTTCTGTTCTACTAGCAGTGTCCATAGAGCTCATTGCCTGCTTAGTTCTTGAACCTTGACGTGGTGGTATAGAAGGTAGTAGTAAATTTACACCATGCTAAAATAATGTTTGGCAAAGCTCTTCTCTTCTGTCAGATAGGAATAATATTTCGTTTTCTATGGGATGCACATGAAAGGCTCTGTAACTTTTCAACAATTCCCTAAAATATTTGTACTTGGTGGGAGATTTTATTTCTGAGTTTAAAGATTTTATTTCTAGAATTACTCAATTGCATTCTAACCTTGAAATGAGCGTAGGGGATATATGTTTGATCCATGAACACACAAGGAAAAGCTCTTCAGCCTTTGTTAATGTAGGCCCTCCTCATTAACTGCCCTGCCCTGTTCTTAAGGGGACATTCCATTTGGCATCCTGAAGTAGATATCACCATACTCCATTTCTAATTTTGTCATAGAATCACTGTTAACATGGACAGTGGTAAATTTTTTTTTTCTTACTATCTCCTCCTCATCTTCAAATGAATCATGAGATATTCCAGCCAAACATATCCTTCCAAAGAAAAAGTAGTAGTGATGGAGCTTGGAACAACATCTGATATCCAGAAGAGATTTCCAGCAAAACTGCTATCCTGTTTGTGTAACTGTCAAGCAGCATTACTATGATATTATTATTTTGGCCACTAACATTTTTATAGCCTATAGGGCTCTGAAAAATATTTGGAAGAACTGGTGACACTTGAACTCCTGACCACTTGGCTCTGGGTATATTTGCCTTCTTTGGATGTATTTGGGAGGGAGAGTGGATCTTGTTTAGCTTCTGCTAAGGATTCTACTAGAAATGCATAGGTACCATGGACATGCTAGAAATGTATCTTTCAAAAATATTTTTGTTGTAGATTGTACAATTGCCTGATAACATCAAGTTTTACTTTCCCGTTTTCAGTCCTTGAAACATCACCATTATTTGTTGCTTAGTCTCTTCCAGATTGCCCAAAGCACTGTTACTTCATAAACAAGGGCTCAGCAAAATCAGGTTTAGCAGGAGCTTTGGTCAGTAAAATCCCATTTAGCCATCCAAAGTGTGTGCCTGGCATAATAGAGATTCTTCGACATCAAGTGGCATATAACACTCTTATCAGCAGCTGTGTCTCTGAGAAGCATATAAATGAAGGTAAATTGTGTGGCTGGAAGTGATGGCACAGTATTAGAGACAAACTAGTTTCTAAATTGGGTGTTGACAGATTTTACTACTCCCTTGCCAAAACTGTCATTACTTGTGGAGTGTTGTAAATGTTAAAAAATTCTTAACACTGTATTGATTTTTTTAAAAAAAATTCTATGCTCATTCTATGTACATAAGCTAAGTCATCGAAGTAATGAAAAATTAGACTACTGTATCAGTATTTTTAAAATTCTGGCATGTAATTCAGCCAAAAAGAACCCAGCTTCAATGGTGGATATCACTAAACAGTATTTTTATTTCTAGATGATTCAGAACTGTTTTACTTTGAAGTGGTACCACACAAGAACACCAGCTTTTCTGTCTTTTTCCTTCATCCTGTGAAAGAGAATTTAGCCTGTGGTATGTGTGGAATAACTGCTACTGTCCTCTCTACTGAGCTGACAAGGGACTTGATTCTATCTAGGCTCCTGCACTATGTTTCTCAGTTACAAACAGTCTAAGGGCCACTCAACAGTGTGCAGCCCAGGAAAAACACGAAGTGTATGCACTTGTGTATAAACTGCTTACTAGAAGGTGTTCTGTACTCAGAATAATACAGAAACTAAATGCAAATATTAAAGTCCTGTTTTGTCTTGGCCTACATTTAATTAATAAATTGTAACTTCCACAATTTCTGATTTAAGTATATTAAGGACAAGTCATGCAAATATATTGCTGCAAACCTCTTTCCACTGACTTGCCTTACATCTCTTCAAGCATCAAAATGAAAGGATGGTTTTCGATGTTTCTAAGTATTTCAAAACAAAGATTTTTCTGTTCTGTTCCTTCTTAGTGGTAATTGATGTTATAACCTCCAGAGAAGTCCAATGTCACCTTCATTTAAATCCTCAAGATCCAGCTCTAAATTCTACTGATGACTTCATAGCAACAGCTGTGAAACGGTAAGTACTTTTATTTCATAACAGATGTCCATTAAATGGAAATACCATGTGCACTCATAATGCCATGAACTCAGTAACTGGAAAACTTCACTCTAGTACTGTAATACAATAATGGGAATAAGTTACTTCAGTATCTTAAGTATCTCTCTCAAAAATTTTAAACATTAACAGTGATGAAGTGTTTCTAGTAGAAAGCATATGGAAGTAAAGAAAGACTATTGAGTGAAGAGTTTTACCTTTTATAAAGATGCTTTTCTGAAGACTCTAGCTGATGACAGTCTCATGTCTAGCATAACTTTGAATAGCATGGAAAGGTCTTTTTACAAATCTACCTAATAGCAATCAGTGCTTCTCTTCAGAAAGTGAGTTGTATATGGCATGTCTACAACACTGACTCTGGCTTGTTTTCTGAACAAATTCCAAGACAGAGAGTTGTTGTGATACATGAACATAGGCTAGACAAACTGATTCAGAACATAGTCTGAGAGCACTAAGTGATTTGGCATAAGCTAGTACACAACTATCATGTGTTTGATGACAACAAAACCAATGCAGGTTGGATTTTGAACCTGATTTTAAACAAGGTAATATTTCTGGAACCAGGTTATGAGTGGGAAAAAAATCTCCTCCAGTATAAACAGTGTTTTAGAAAAGATACCTTCTGTACCTGTGTTACACAAAACATGAAGGTTACAATCATAAAACTCAAGAAGAATGAATATATTTCAATGTTCTTAGTTTTGGTTTTCATTAGAAGCACCCTTATGACTTTTTTTTGTTGACCAGATTGACCAGACTGAAAGGCCTCCTACTCTTTCAGTCAAAGCTCCTGTGCACACCTAACTTCAAAGACTCAGCACTAAATTTTAGTGTGTTAACATATATTTCTGGTACAGCACATGTAGTTTATATTATGGCTACAAAGTAACACCAGGTTGTATGAGACAAAAACAGAAAGGAGGTAATGCTGGTTTTCATTCAGGTGTCAGCTACAGTTTAAAAAACAGAAGTACTTTAAAGAAAGTATGATGTCTGTAGTAGTGACTAATGTGTTATTTCCTTCTTCAGTTGCATGTCAGTCCCAGTTGTCATGAGAGCTGTTTTCAGGAATGCTGCCAAGGTGAAAGCTGACAGTGAAACACAAGACATGGACACAGAACAACAACCTGGACAACAATCGGAGCAAACTACAGATTCTAACAGTCTCAAAGAAAGCCTTTCTGGTGTTGGTCAGCAAGACTGGATAGTGACAGATAAGCCAAATAATACAGAAAGTACAGAAGAAAATCTCTCCACAGCCAAACTGGAAACTCTGGGTGATAACATGGAACCCCCTCTTAGTTACTGATTTCCTTCTCTTCATGCTAATCTGGTCCACATCCTTTATTCCTTCTTTTATATTTTTCTCCAACTTTCCAAGCCTTCATCTCCTCCATATCTTCTGGTTACTCTAATGTCCTTGAATGGCCATAAATTTAGGATCCCAGATGCCCAATCTTCAAATTCTTTTGGCTTTGTTCACTGAAGATTGTTAGGCTTAGTTTTAACAAACTCAAGGTTTCAGTGATTTAATGATCAAAGTAGGTCTGTGAAGAAACTTAAGCGGTGTTGGCTAAAAGTGGGCACTGCTTACATTAGTTAAAACAACTAATTAAAAATTAATTAGGAAAATTATATATATATTCCAACACTGTCTGCACCATATTCTACCAGAATATGGAAGAAATCTGTGTTTAACATACATGATACAGTCTATAACACAAGACAAGCATTTGAAGAAAAGTAATGTTTATCCATGTCAATATTACGCTAAATAAATTGAAAAAAAGTTACTTGAACAATTTCTGTATTAATGCAGATGCCCCTCTTTGTCCACTATTTCATAAATACAAAAAGACTCTGAACTGCAGTTCTGATTACCCCTAAAGCAGAAGTGGTACTGAAAGGAAACCAAACTTAGAGTCTGTCAACTCTGACAGTGTAACAGAGTCTTTAGTAAAAATGTTGTATAAAACTCAGGCTCTGAAAAACAAGGAATTTTTGCCTTAGATTTTTTCTTGCCTCTAAGTATGAAATGGCTTTGTGATTTTTTTTTTTTTAATTATAGTTTACTGTTCAAAATCTTGCTCTGCCTATGTCTGGAATATTCCTTTGTCTCCAATAAGAATGAGTTACAGGAAACTTCCAACAAATAAGTTGGGAACTTACTATACATCAGTTTAATTAATGTAAAACAGAGGCATTCACAAAGAAAAAAACTTTCTGAACAGAGCAATTTACAGCTACAGTGAAGGGAAGCAAAGAGAAAGCAAGTCAAATACAGAATAGTTACAGAAATACAAAATAATCAGAAATAGGCATGAGTGGCTGATGTGTTTCTAAGAGGTACTGAATAAGCTTGGCTTCCTTGAAGAGTTTGAGAAAAACATTATTGGAATGTGGGAGAGTTCAGGCTAGATGGACTGACAAAATAAATACAAAAATAACGAAAGGATGTTCATTAGACTGGAAGCATGTTTAGTGTGGTCTGACATGATAAGAGCAGATGTCTAAAAGTAAAACAATGAATTGTCAGCAATTCTGTATTTGAGGAAAATAGTGAGTTTTCAGCAAAAGTGACAAATATAACTATATAAGGAGGGAAAAATAGTTTTTTAACTGTGAAAGTGCATTGCATCATGGGTAGAAAAGATAACACACAGGATTTGACAAAAAGTGACTAGAGAGTCACAGCACTAGGAATCAGCAGCATATCATGTTCTGTTTTGCACACAGCATATCATCAACAGCAGCTTATTCTGCAAAAACACTGACCATTTCCATAGCACTGAGCATTTACTCTTTTGATATTGCAGGGGACCAATTTAGAGGAGCTATTTAATGGACCCACTTCATTTCCAAGCTGCTGCCAAGAAAAAAATGAGGGTGAAATGGGACCTCCCAACACAAAACAGAAACATGTTTAGTAACTCTTTGTAAAGCTTTAAGGTCACTGCCCCTTTCTGTGAATGTTACCTTTAAGGTTGAAAGTGAAGGGTTTTGCCCAGAGCCAAAATCATGGCAAGGATTTACAAAAATTACTTCTACTGTAAAACATCAAAATTAGATTTTCCTAAAGCAAAAGTGATGCATCAGCCTGTACATGACCCACAAACTAAGAATCAAAGTCAGCTGTGATAGTTTGAAGTACCATGAGACAGGAAAACTAATTTTCCAGTTGCTGGACATGATGGAGTACATCCAGTGATAAGCCCAGTTGCTCTACTAACCAAACAGTCTGCATTTTAACCCAAGCAAGGGTTGACTTTTCAGGATCTGTGCAGAGGTTTGCCTTGCTGCACTCAGACTGCAAGGAACCAACCTCACCATTATTCCTACAAATGTTGTCACCGGAGCTGCCACAGTTGTTGTGTTTTCCATCTTCAACTTCCCTGTACCCTGTCCCAGCTGTGTGATTAAGGTCCATGTCCTGAACTGAGTCTAAAATGTGTCCAAGATGTGGCTGTTCTTCAGTAGAATTCAGATACTTAAGCACATCATCTTCATGCTTTCCAACTACATCAAGAAGATTATTTATCGTACTTAGAGCAGAATTATGTCCATTAAAATGACACCAGGATAAGAGAGCACTGAAAAGTGAACAACAACAAAAGTGATTATATTGATCTACGTAGATCTCCACTTGGTGCAGGTAGATAGACAGCAATGTGACAAGGTATCTATGTATCATAAATACATTTATGTATAATTCATTATTTTTGGAAAAGTCAGGCAGTAGAACTAAATATTAAGCTTAAATATGCAGATTCAGACAATTTTGGAAGAGCAACTGAAAGAGACTTTAGAAATTATACTTCTACACTCAGGTGGGCATTCCCTGTTCTCAAGATAGAGGAATTCTCAGGTTGCTCACTTTGGACAGTTTCAAAATGTTTTTTGTTTTGTTGTTGTTGGTTTTTGTTTGGGTTTTTTGTTTGTTTTTTTTTTAGTTGGTTGGTTTGGTTTTTTAATTAAAACAAACAAAAACTCATATGTGTGTTCCCCTGTTACACACCCTCCACATACACTTGACCTTAAGGAGTTTGTAACCTACTTCAGGGTTCCTTTGAACTGGCCGCATGTAATCATCAGCTTGGCACCGTGTCTGTAACCTTGATTAAAGCCTGTCTGGAGTGCAAGTTCTTTCCCAGCCTCAATTCCATCCCTATAGCCTTCCTGTAACAAAAGCAGTGAAACAGGCTGCTCAATGTCACAACATGACAAAGTGGACCTCTGACAAATATATGACAATAATAAAAAAAAGTTTAAGTATCACATTTCTTAGTTACAGCTTCTATATCTGTATATCCTTCACAGCTACACCCACTGCCAAACCAAAACACGCTTGTTGCAGTATACTATGATTTACTGATCTGTAAGATGTAGTTTTTTACTTTTCCCAAAAGGATTCACAGAAAGTCAGAAAATAAGGAAACTTCTAAACTTCTTTTAGAAAGATAAAAAAAACCCCAAAAAAACGTATGTTTGCTTTTAATGATTACCAACTCCTTTGTGAGAAATGGACTTAGAAGTACCACACAGACTTCTTTTTTTCTATCTAAAAAGATATGCAGGCTGCCAATCTTCCCCTTTATCTTTACTCTTCTATCTGTAATCCATCTACATGGAGTCCATTTATTTTCACAAAATTAACTGCTGAGCATTGCTCCCTTATTTGCTGGGCCTCACTCCATTCAAGAGTTATACCAGAAAAAGAGAGTGATTGACTGAGTCACATATAAATACACTTAACATTGGGACTGCTTTCTTTAAGTAAACAGCTAATGACTGTAATGCAAGTTACTTTCTTTATATTATAACGACATTACAAGATTAATAGAATAATTCTTAACTTTTTTTCATATGAAAATTACAAGCTACAAAAGTGAAAACTTCTATTTGCTCATGGAGGCCTTGCTAGAAAACTAGTCTGGAACACAAAAATTTATTTTGCCCAACATACAACTCTAACTTCAATAACACTTCATGATTTTGCAGTATCTACTCAAAAATACCATAGGGATTTCTGTAAGAGCACTAAACAGTTCCTTAAGAAAACCAGTCTTTTCATGGAACTCAGATGAAGGAAATTACACCGGGTCTGCTGTAATACCATTGCTCACCAACTGCCAACATAACTGTTTCCATCCATGTTCTTCAGCCAAATGCTGCTCAGCTGTGAGCAGAGGAGCCCTACTGGCCCCACTCTGAATGACACAGTATCTGTCAAACTCATCTGTTTATGAACTTGTTTTGTTCCCTGCAGAACTGCAGAGACGCAAAGGCTGTGGAAAGCAGCTTTCATAAAATGGATATTTCACTTGGAGAATAAATCAAGCAAAGACCTCAGACTCAACCACACACCACAAGGCCAATTGTGGTTGCACATGGAGTCACACATCTTACATTCTGACTGATGAGTAACTCTACTCAAAACCCCAAACATCTCACATGTCTTTATTAGCACTGTTCAGCTCTGTTGCCCTACATTTACTAGGGCTATACATACAAGTACAAAGCAAGTAGCTTGCATCACAATTCAGCACTGCCTTTTATAAATGCACATGGTCATGCAGGAGGAGTCAATGCTTTTGGTAAAACAGTACTTTGCTCTGGTGACTACTAAGTAGTGTTTACATCAATTTCTGCCATATTTCCCTGATATTCAGAACAAAGTAGGCCACAATAACTTTTAAGCAGCTACTTTTCCCTTTAAATCATTCACATGTGCATCAAATTAAATGTCAGTAAATCTAAAATGGCTAAAAACATATTAAATCCTTTTTATAGAAATACCTTCAATCTCTTTTTCATAGTGCTGTTCCATTCCTTCTGTAGTAGATACATCTCATCTGCATCTTCATCAAATATATCCTCATTGGATTGGCTGACTGCTACTTGTACCCAGGACATAATAGCAGTGCTCTATGACCCCTCTTTATGTGGTAAAAAAACACTGAGAAACTCTCAGAAGTGCCTCTGGTGAAGTGTCAGATTAGAAGTATTGGCAAAAAACTGAGCTCCGAAGAGAAGCCAGGTGTGGTGCTGATTATTCAATCTCTACATGGGAACTTGGCTCTGTGTGCCACTGGGGTGCATCTGTCAAGAAAAGGCAGTCAGATCATCGTTCATAAGGTAACTTCTGAGATCTATTAGGGCAACTTATGATAGTTCCTTCCCATCTTATGGCACTGACACACATATGGACACCAATGCAGCATTTATGAATACTGCAGTACAAGGACAGCTGGCAGAAACAACTTTATGACTTGCTTCCAACAGCAGCTGACAAATAGTCCCATACAGCCTCCATGTGGTGCCCTAAAACAAGGTGTATGTATACACACAACTTTGTATATTTGTATTGTGTACACAATTTACTACACGCAGGTTAATACTTGCAGAGTTAATAACTGGGAAGTACTTTCACCTTTGATTTACAGTTTTCTGATTATGTCAAGTACTTAACTATCTTATAAAACAAAAACAGTGCTTTCTACTTTGAATAAAGAATTAGCAAGTGCTGCTGCAGGGGAAAGGAGAAATTTTCGGGTTATTTAATCTCTTCCTACGACGAAAACTTTGAGAAGCGTCTCACAACTAATTCATTTGCCTCGCTGTAAATTGTTAGAACACACCGACGGCTCTCAGAGAACCCAGGGCTCAGGGACAAAACCGGCTGGGGTCCTGCGGCCTGAGGAGGGTAAGCGGGGCATCTCCCAGCCCCACAGCCGGCCCGGGCCGCAGGCAGGGCCGCGCACGTGCCCAGCTCCCCAGAAGCGCCCATGCTGTGGGGAGCCTTCCTTCTCCCCGGCCGGCCACAGACGCCGCCTCCCCCCTCCTCGCCTTTCCGCACTGCTCGCACCACCGCTGTCGCCAGCCCGGCCCCGCACACTGACCCTCACCGCAGCCGCGGGCACTCCGCGCCGCGCTCCGCCATCTTCACTGAGGGAAAACGACGCCACTGCCGGCGGAAGTAATTGGGCAGCGACAGCCATGACGTCAGAGACCATCGGAGACGCTGGAGGCGCCATCTTGAGTGAGGGCGCGGCCCGCTCCAGTGGTACTGCCCTGGGGCCGCCAGGCGCCAACGGGGCGGGAGCTGCTGCCGCAGTCGGGAGTCGGGATGCCCTTATCCCATCATCACCTCCCGCGTTCTCTGGAGGGAGCGGCATGTAGCTGCCTCGGCCTCCCACAGTGACCGGAGGACGACCCGAGGGTCAACGCGTTCCTCGGGGCAGGGAGGTTTCATCGTCTTTTCGGTTATAAAGTGTGGCGTTTAAAAAAAAAAAAAAAAAAAAAAATCTGCCTTGATGACTTCAGAATCGTCAAGCACTTTATGTGAAGCATGCCGTTAAGCTATCCTCTACAAGACTCAGGTATTACAATGAGAAATCCTTTTTAATATGAAAGATGCCAGCGGGAGTCAAGTGTTTCATTGCTGACTTTGACTAGAGAAAACAGGAATATCCTGTTGACATAAATGAAACATAAGTGCAGCAATGTTGGTGCATGCTGCATTTGGCTTGTGAGCAGAAGTTTAAAGCTGATTAATCTTCATGAACACACAATACATCAAGTGTGAATTCAAGCTGCCTGCTTCTCCGCATTGCCAGAGGCTGTTCAGTAAACGCCGCCTGTGCTGAGCGCCCTGCGGGTCCCTGGCAACCCGACCACCCGAGAGCCCGATTCCCCGTGGGAGCACGCTCCCCCCAGCCACTGTCCCGTCTCCTGTCCCAGGGGTGGCTGGTGACATTCCTTACAGCGGGGCTTGGGACGCTGCACGGACAGCAGCAGGGCTTGCCTGTGCTCTGCAGGTATCCGGAGACGAAAGCGCGTGTGCTGCAAACTGTGCAGCCGCTGCACTCCCTCTCCCTCCTCCTTTCTGCTCCGCAGACAGTCTGTCCTCCTGCTTCTGGCCCATCTTGCATGCCTTGGATGGTTGAATGCTGAGGTGTGAGTAGCCAAGTAACCAAATCTGTCTTGAAATTCGTGTGTCAGGTGTCAAAATGACACTGGTGCCGCTGGATGGCCACAACTGCATATCTGTTCCTCAGCAGTTACTACACATGTCAATGATTGCTGATTTTCTGGCCCACTTATGTCACTTTCAACTCCCGTCTGGAAGACGCTAGCTTTGTCATTTAAAAAAAAAACTGATAACAATACTGACTATTGCCTGCATGCACAAATGCACAGTCACGAAAATCCCTTCTGGCAACAAAACCTTTAACTGGTCATAATGACGCTTAGCAAAAATTCACCAGGTGGAAACAATTCTTCATCTGGCAACAGCACTATTAAACTTGGGTTAACCCTTTGCATATCATCTTCTCCTCTGTCTGGTCAGCCTCTTGCTCTTCTGGTACAGATACACAGGTCATGGCTCAGGGAAGCTGTGAGTTTCCCAGATTCACACTATCAGTTTAAATGTCTTAAATTCAGCAAAGTTGATCATCCCACACAGACGTTTAAGAATGAGTCTTTATAATTGTGAGAAAAAAATTAAGAAATCTTTTATTTCCACCCCTTTCTGTTATTAGTTGTGGGTGGATAATTAGGTGAATCATTGTATACATAGAGCAACATTGTTGGGATATGAAGTACAGTTGCAATTTGAAGACAATTTGATTCTATGTTGATGACTTGGACAGGAGTTCAGGGATTGAGGGTGAGGTGCAATGTCTCGGGGTGTGGATGTTTTCCACACTTATGTGTGTTCTAAACAGGACAGTGTCTGTGTATTATGGTGACGCTGTCAAGATACATACCAGAAGATCAAAACAGGAGAGCAGTAATTCACCGGTTAAAAGCCAGTTCTGATATTTTTGCACAATAAAGTTGCCTGAAATTGCGAAAAGCGAAGTAGTTGACTTGTGACCCATTGTAAAGTTTGCCAGTGCCATATCTAAGTTTAAAACTGGGCTAATGTTTGGCTTAGGGCATCTGATGTACCAAAGGTACATCTGGAACATGAACATGCATATCTCAGCAGTTACTTTTTGCTTTCCTGGTGTACTGGGGAGAGCTTCTAGAAGGGTCAGTACACAGTCACAGCTTAATACTAACAAGAGATTTCAGGAGATCATCACACAGGAATTCTGCCAGCTTCATCTTAGCAGTAAGGTTTGCCATTAAGCAATCAGCCATAAGTGATCTCCAAAAGTGATATGTTGTCATAGGGTGTTCCTTTGCACCATTTCAATATAATGCTTCAGATAAAACATTGCTCCTATTCAGATCATTGTTATACAACTTTGTCTCTCAAACAGAAATGGATGGGAGCATCCAACAGATTTTGTCATAATGCAGACACCTCAAGAATTCAAGCTTTTTTGAAGGGTGGTTGATTACCTTGGCCAGGACTTGTATATGGGCCACTCTGTGGGGTAGGTTCCGTTCATTCTCACTACAGCAATTTCTGTTGCTGTGTGCTATTGTCTCTGGCAGAATTGAGTAAAACCTTGTGAAAGACCCAGGGCAGAGGACTATTTACACCATAAATTGTTCTCCAGGCATGCAGTCCTTATGGACTGACAGAACCATGTTTCATTGACTCCAACTTTGGGAGTAATATAATTCTTTTAGGAAATCACAGCTCTTAAATGGTATTTGGATAAATTTCAGCCACATTTAAATAATTTAAACATTTAAATGTTCACTTGTCTTCTATAGTGAACAAGACAAAAATGTAATGAAAAAGAGCAAGCTATCAAAATGTGAGGAGAATAGAAACCGTCAATATTTAATAAAGATGGTGTATGCATTGTCACCGAACATTGCACAATGTTTCCGAAGAGCCTTAAACCATAAGTGTACCCCAAAATGTGTACATATTGTATGGTCAGGTCTGTAGTCTTTTCCAGGTATCTGGCTCTACTGCCTAGACGAATTCTAAGCTGTTTTCAATGAATATCATGATAACAGGGCATTGGTAGGACTGCCTACAACAGCATCAAGAAAGACATGCTCACATGTAGTCGACGTCTCTGTCCTGATCTTGGATCTGTGCATCTTTCCTTCATGCAGAGGGTGGTGGGGATGTGCACTGCTGGCTGAATTTCAATAATAATACATTGACCTCCAGCACATAAATACTTTGCTACCACAGAGAAGGAAACAGTGAGCAAACAGGTTAAGTGCAAGGTCATAGGCTTAATGATGTTTTAAATATTGCAGCTCACAGCATAGAGGACTATAATGCCCCTAAACTGAAGAAGAGGGTTAAAATAAACTTCTAGGATCAGTGAGTATTACCAGAGCATGGTAATAAACATACACTTCTATATTTTCCTGTAGTAGCTCTCATACAGGGTATTAATAAAATTTACTAGTGAAGCCCTGTCACCGTCTTCTGATGAAGGTAACTAATACATATGAATTACTTCTCTGCTTTCGTGAAATCATTTCTTTCTTCTTTAATAGCATACAATAATATTGCAGCAACAACTCTTTGGGTCAAAATGTCACATTTAATGTGAGAAGAAAATGGAAGAATATGGAAAAGTATGTATCAAAGGTAAATGTCTAACATTCACTTCCAAGCACCACAGGAGTCTTAATAGCTCTTTTGCCATTACTTCTTACGCAAGTATTTTCAAGGGAGAGGATACTTTTTCTGCCTCTTCCTTCACCAGTATAACCAAAGCAACAGAATTTTGATAGTTAAATATTACAACAGGACAGTTTTCTTATTTGCAGAATCATTACCATTTCAGATCCTTGCAAAGAGACCTTTCCTGTCTATTTCATGAACTGCCGACAGTTGGGCTTAAACTAAATTGTAAGTGGAAGTGGCTAAGCAAAGGAGTATTTTTTCCCCCTGCTTTTTCCAGGCTTTCTTTGAATGTCCTCAGGGCTTGCAGTCTGGAAAACTGTACTCTTCACTGCTGCATACTAAGCAGAGCAAAAGGTATACTTTATTAACACCAAAACAATTATCTTCTGTCATTTTCCTTAGTTTGCTCCTCAAATAAGAAAAATTTGATGTCCCTGGAAGTAACTCATATTTTAATTCTGGAGTTTTGATAATAACTATAACACTACAAAAAATAGTATGGCTGAGATAAAAATGAGCTTTATACACATCCCAGCTCAAAATTAAGATTGACAGAACACAGTGTAGTATGGGACTACACTATTATTTTTAGAATATACAACAGAGAAACAAGGAAGGAACATTCCTAATTGTCTTCAATCTGTTGAGAATGAGCTTTTTACAGTATGAAATTCCACATGAACAGAAAAAGGTTAGGTCAATAAAGGCAAGAAAATTAAATAAGTTCTACATTTTAGTTGTGTAACTGAATCATGTGTCTACTGAAATTGTAATATTAGAGATGAGTCTCTCTGAGTTTATATCATAATAAATCAGGACTCCAAAGCTTTCTGACTCAGATATCCTTAAGTAAGATTTTTTTTATGCAGAGTTGCCTTTTTTGTTTGTGTAATACTTGATCATAATATGCAAATGTTTACTGTAAATGAAATTAGTCCAAGGAGAATGCTGTATTCTGCTTATGGATTTCCCCAGCGAATTGCATCTCTACTCAAATTACGCAGAATTTTTGTCACATTTCATTTCTTCCACAGGAGAGAAATGCCAGCTCTTTTCTTTTGGCAAAGAGACAAATTGCTCTCTCTGTGTTATGCGTTGTATGAACTCAGGCAAATGCTGACAAACTGCAGGAATAGCAGCTGTACAGTGCTGATCCAATTGTCTGAAGTGAATAGAACTGCTAGAAGTCAGAAAACCTTGTGGAGTGCACTGATTTTCTTGGCACCTGAAACCAGGAGAAAACAATTGTTTCCGTGGCAATGCACAGTTTCAAAAAGGTTGAGGTTATGACAAGGATGGTTAAGTGGTGGCTTTTGAGATACATGTGGATTCTGAACAACTCCAGTACAGCATGTATGCCATATCTGCAGCATATAATTGTTTGGCTGACTGTGCTTGAGCAA